GGAGAACTGTGACTGGCTCGCCAACAAACACTGTTAGAAAAATGAGTGCAATTATTTCCTGTCGCCTCAAAAGGAAGGAGCCTTAGTGGTGCTATGAGTTAGGCACTGGGCTGCTAACGTTACGGTCAGAGGTTCAAACCCACTAGTTGCTCAGCAGGGGATGGCAATGGGTTTGATTTGGTTTCACTTTGTCCTACTATTTATTTGACTACTTCTGACCTGAAAAACAAAGCTACTGCAGTGTAGCAACGATGAAACATACAACTTTCCTCTAGTTCCTAAATGCTTCCTCCCCCCACAATCATGATCCCAATTCTACCTTGCAAGTCTGGCTAGACCAGAGGATGTACACTGGTACAGATAGGAACTGGCAACACAGGGAATCCAGGGTGAATGATTCCCTTCAGGACTAGGGGTGAGAATGGCAATTCTGGGAGGGTGGGGGGAGGGGAGGGTAGAAACGGGGAACCGATTACAAGGATCTACATATAACCTCTCCCTGGGGGATAGACAATAGAAAAGTGGGTGAAGGGAGACGTTGGACAGGGCAAGATATGACAAAATAATAATTTATAAATTATCAAGGGTTCATGAGGGAGGAGTGGGAAATGGGAGGGAGGGGAAAAAATGAGGAGTCTATACCAAGGGCTCAAGTCGAAAGCAAATGTTTTGAGAATGATGATGGCAACCAGAGTACAAATGTGCTTGACACAATGGATGGATGTATGGATTGTGATAAGAGTTGTACAAGCCCCCGATAAAATTATTAAAAACAAAGCGACATGTTCCAAATCATTTTGTTGTGGTGGTTGTTTTACTTACTAGTTTGCAAATATATATATTTTATGTGTAATTTTCAAACTCTAAGTTTGATTTTATATATTGTATTTGTTTTATAAGCTTTATTTTCATTTATTCAAACTTCTTTACTATGGTAAAACTAAATTTCTAAAGTGATGTAATTTTATACTCAAGGTAATTGAAGCTGCAGCAATTAGGCAGAGCACAAAAATGAAAACTTGTGGAAGATTTTTTTTTTAAGTAGGCGGTCAAGAGGGTGTGGCAGGACTTGTTGATCGTGAAAAATAATTACAAAATTAATTTCCTTCTTAAAACACAATGAGTCAGAAGAGATTGCTTACATTATATGCTGGAACTTAATTGGTGCAACTGTGCTGAAACTATGAATACAATAGGAACATAACAGAGTACAACAGGAATCTCATCTGCTCCAAACGCTGCATCCATTCTTGATCTAGTGGCGATAGCAATACGTGTTGAAAGTGACGCTATTTGAGAATCTGAAATTGTCACATCAGCTGATCTCCAAAATGACAGAGATACAGATGCTGCTTTGTACAATGGTTTTTCTTCTAATGATGTATGTTATGGGTGGAAAGACGGCCCAGTGATTGTCCATGTCACAGTGGACCATTTGAAATTTTCTGTCTAAAATTTCAGGATGCTAAACAAACAAGATTCTGTAGCTAGAATATAGTTCCAGAGTGCAAAGCTCATGTGGAAAATTATAACAGGGAGTGGCTACTATATTCGCCATCGACTGGCCCTGAAGATTGTTTTGCATTCAGTCTGAATGCATTTAATGTCCAATTTGCTACATGTGGATTTTGTGACGGGCACATCTTGAATCTGATTGGTAAGCAGTGTGTTGTCATATTTAATAAAGACAGGCATGGGCTTGACTCTTAAACCAGAAATACAACTGTAGGAAGAACATCAGTATTGGAAAGCCATTGTGCAACACATTGATCTGCTAACAATCGCTGAATGTGCACTATTTTTGTTTTGTTTTGCTTTGTTTTGAATGCACTGGTCTTTTGAGGAAAAAATGAAGTGCTTGGGGGCGTTTACTCCATCCAACGTGTTCAGTTCAATCATTTTCAGTAGGTCAAATCTTAAATCTCAAAACACGGAAGCACAGAAAATGCAACCTGCTGGGTGTCTAAAGCAGTATGCGAGGAAAATTAATAGGGTTTGACCTACAGTTTTCAGTGAAATAAACATAGTTTTATATCTGTTTATAGATTCCACTACTGATCTTTCTCATACCGACCAGCTAAGTATTTTTTATTATATATCACCAACAGATGGAAAAGCTGTCAGGGGACTTATCACATTTACTAGCTTAAAAGTCACATCAGGGAATGAATTGCAAAGCAAGTACTTTTCACTACTTATGGGAAATATGCAAAATGGATTTTTCTAAGTGCAGAAGCCAGTCCTGTGACAACGCTGCCAATATGCCAGGGTGTTATAAAGCCATGCAACAGAAAATTCTAGAATGCCCATACTATGTGCTACCTGCTCTCTTCGTCTTGTTGATTGAACACATTTCTTTGCCACCTCTACTCATTGACGGGCAGTACTTAAAACACAAGCAATAACCAAGTACTAAACTGTCTTTCCAGTACACCCTGGGAAGGCATGCTTAACAGTCACTCAGATTCTAGATGCCTTCAAAAGTACTGCTGAAGACCAGAGACACACAACGGCTATTTCAAAGAGAAGCTGACAACCACATGAACACAAAGCAAACACTGGAGTGTGTATTTATGTCGGTATGTGTTGATTATATAATACACCATTTTCATCAGTTGAACCAAACTGTTCAATTCAGAACTAAATTTAAACACGTGCACAGATATCTGCCAGTCATTAACAGTGCATTTACATCATTTAAGAGAAGACTTGGAAACTTTTGAAAACACATACTGCTACATCATCAAGCAGGCTAATGTCACAGAAACGTTAAAAAGAAACAAGTATATGCTCCAGAAGTATCATTGGCAGAGATCAAGTTCTCTGAAGTATGTGCTCCAGCCTCACTGACACACTTGAATCTTGCATGAAAAGAGAAGAGAAAATGTATGAAGCTTTTTCACAAGAATTTTTTTCTTCTTCTTAAACAATGTGGGTGTATTTAATGAAGAATGCAGGAAGGCATCCAAGAAACTAGTGCAGGCTGATCCCAATGACAAATAAGTGGGCAGTCAAAAAGCACCGGTACAAAACTATAGAAATCTTTATCAAATAAAAATATTACAATGCGTATTTTGTTTCTCAATATGAATGCCACCACCATCTATACATGCTGAAGGCAGTGTTTCTATCTCTCTCCCACTCTTCCTGAAGAACTCCGGACTCCCCCATTTATATCACGTCAAAAAGGAAGTTTTGGTGCCTGCAAATGACTCAAATCCTGCTCCTCTGAAAGGCTCTTTTTTTTTTTTTAATCATTTTATTGGGGCTCATACAATTCATCACAATACATAGATCAATTGTGTAAAGCACACCTATATATTTGTTGCCCTCATCATTCCCAAAATTCTCTTTCCTCTTGGGTTCCCAGAATCAGCTTTTTCCTTTTTTCCCCTCCCCCTCCCCCATGAACCCTTAATAATTTATAAATTATTATTAGATCTTATTTTGAAAGGCTCTTTGAGTTCAGGGGACAAGAAAAGAAGTCTGGTGGGGCAAGATCAAGGCTGTAGGTTGGATGGGGTAAGGTTTCCCAAAGAGACTCTCATTGGGCAGCGCTTGCTACCCGGGATGAATGAGCAGGTATGTTGTCATGATGGGAAGAAGTCTTCCGTAGAACGTTCCTGGTCTTTTCTCACCAATGGAGTTTTGTTTTCTCAGCACTTTTTCATCATAAGCCCCCATGATGGCCCTGTGTCCCTCAGGGAAATCTACCAAGACGGCCACTTAGCAGGCCTGAAAACACAGTGACCATACCCTTCTGTGCTGACCTCTCGGTCATGGCTTTAGCTGACCCAGCAGATGGCCTCAGACTGCTTTGATGGGCCTTTGCTTTCTCTTTGAAGGCACCCTGACAAGTTGAAGGCCGAGTATTACTGAGAGGGGACTTGTTTGTAGCCAACCACTGATTGCGGAAGCCTATTTCAGTCATTTCCTTTGGAGGAGGTGTGTGTGTGTGTGTGTGTGTGTGTGTCCTGGAGTCCCACAAGCAATACTTTTGACTTGCCCTCGTCCTTACTGCCGCCTGGTTGCAGATGAGGAAACTATAGTTTTGAAAGATTAATTAACTTCCCCAAGATCACACAGCTAGAAAGTGGTAGGGGCAGGATTCCAACCCTGGTCCAACCCATACTGTCAATCACTACTACCATCTGCCCCAAACAATGCAGGAAGACAGAGGTAAAGCCCACACAAAACAAAACTCACCGGCCATGGAGTCATTTCTAACTTGCGGCGACCCTAGAGAGCAGAGTAGAATTGCCCCCGGTAACTCTTTATGGGACGAGAAAGCCTCATCCCTCTCCCCTCCGGGCCCCGCCCATCAGAGAGGCTGGTGGATTCGAAAGGCTGACCTCAAGGCGAGCTGTCCAACCCGTCACCACTCCGTCATCAGCTCTCCTAGGTGAAGTCCAGCAGTAAAACTTTACTGAGCCCCTAGCAGCAGCCAGAGACCCACCCGTCAGGTCCGGACCGCTCCGTGGAGGCGTCGCGAGCATCCTCCTTCGACGAGGAAACCACGACGCCAAGAGAGGAAATGTCTTTCTCAGAGGCAGCTGGCAAATCAGTCGCCGGGACAGGTGCCGGGATCCCGATCTCCCGGCCCGGGCCACTCAGCCTCACCCCTTTCGCCCCTTGGGCTGCTGCGGGAGGCCCACACAGGGGTGCGAGCAGGCATGGTGGGCGCGGCCCACGCGGGAACCCAGGCCTGCCAGGGCAGCGGCGGGCCACTCCGCCAGCAGGTGCCCGCAGGTGAGCCACCTAGCGCTAGGGGGCCCCGGGCCCGCAATCGGCTCACCGAGCCACAGAACGGCAGGCTGGGCGCGCACCGCCTGCGCGTCTCGGTTCCGAGCGGAGAATGGACGAAAGGCCGGGCGCGCGCTCCCCGGGGAGCCAACTTGGGCTCGAGTCTGCGCCGGGTGCGGGCGGGGAGGGTGGGGTGCGGGGTAGTCCAAGGGGTGTGCCCCACCCTCCAGCCCCCGGGCGCTGCTGCGGTCACTCACCCAGAAGCCGGTGGAGTAGACGATGAGCGAGAACTTGAGCCAGAGGTAGGAGAAGCGCGCGCAGTAGCGCACCTGCTCCGAGTCCCCGCGGGGC